CTGACAGTTACTTCACATCTCAGCGTTGTCTTTGTGGTTCTTCCGTAAAAGGCGCATTTCTACATCTAAAGCAGCCTAATGCTCGCAGTTTCTTACAATAACCACATTATGTTGCGCATCTGCTTTTAAAAGGTCAAATTTCTGCGCTTTTCCCAAGAATTTGCTGTCGTATGAGCATCAACAACGATGAAATTCCGGCGAAAAATGCACGCAAACATCATCATGATGACATTGGAATAGCTGCGCTCTACTATAGCGGACGATTGAGAATTATAGAAAAATGACTAACACTGTGCAATATGGACACGGAAAACAAACGATTTGACAATGAAAATTCCACAACGAAACAGCAGCACTCTGCTTCTTATGTTTAACTCAAGAACGTGAATCTGAACTAGTACTTTATGGGAGATAAGGATTTGCCTTCCTGCAGTATGAAAATGAAAAAAGTGCAAGTAATTTGCTGTGAAGATATTCAAGTGAAAAGCAATGGATTTCTTGTCAGTTTAGCTCACATGTGGATGTAGTCTGAGAACATTCTTGGAAAATATGGTAGAAAAGTGAATAGATAGAGAGAAAGAGATTGAACAAATTCCGCAATCCCTTTCCTCATGATCATACATAGTGGGAAGTTGGCTCAATATATCGTAGCAGTAGAAAAGGAGAATTTTGCTGGTAAATTCAATCTAGAATAAGGAAATTTCTGGCTCTGGCAATGCTTTGACGGTAAACAAGGCTTTAAAACTTAATCTCCGCCTGAAAATGGTTCTCATCAACGTAAAAGCATGACATCTCTATTTTTTTGGGATTGATCTCTTAACGCTAACCTTCTTGATATAGTACTAAATCTGCTAAAATGAAACCGGTGTTATTGGAAGGAAGGCGTTCTAGAAAGGAAGCAGTGAATAACACACCTCTTCACGATGCCCATATGAGCGGATGAAGCAATCAATATGAGGCATATGCAATGGAATCACCTCTACTATTACCGCTCTAGCAGTCGCAGTTTCAAAAAAGCCTAGCAACGATTCTTTTCGCCAACTATCCTTTAGAATTAGAGCATGGAGGAGAAAGCGTGTTTTCTAACGCGATGAT